AGCATCCAGCACTCCTCAACAGGCAAAATGGTCTGTCCTGACGCGGGCGTTGAAGTCACAAACGGCAACCAGCTTGTCTGCCTTCGGCACAGTCGTCAGGAGGGCGTGCAGGTCCACGATGTCATTCCGGATTGCAAAAGCGACGTTCGTGTCTCCTCACTCTGTCCTCGGGAGACCACTCCGGAGCAAGGTGTAGCCGACGCCAATCTCCTCCATTTTGCCTTGTTCGATGTACTGGATCTCGCTGGGCGAAGCGATGTGCACTCTTTAGCGCGCCAGTTTCCGAGCCACTAGCACCGTCCTCTGTTCCGCTCGGTAGCTCTTGGGATTATCTATAAGGGAACGAACATTTCAGGCTGCCAGGGTGAGCGACCTTACTTTAGAGGTAGAGGTGAGGGCGGAGGGAAGGAGGAGAGAGAGTATTGTTTCTCGTCTGCTGGCTTCGACCGCATGTTTAGCAGCCTACGAGCCACGGTTTGCGCGCAGAATTCGTGAGCCCAACATCTGCTTGGGGCACCCTTTATAGCCACTTCCCACTGCTCTCTCTAAATAGGACTGCTAAATCGTCCCAGACGACTGTCGAACTCGACAGTGGGTCACTAGGCTTAGTGAGTGAACGACCCGATTGGCCTGGACTGCTCACGTGGTTGCATCTTGCCATCGTCGTAAGACCGCCCGACCGCGTGCGAAGAGAGTAGAGTGGAAAGTGTAAAAGAGAGGAGAATGGAGAGGGAGGGAAATGGTGGGGGGGGGAGGGGGAGGGGGTGAGAAGCTGAGTTTCTGGGTGTGGGAACAATCCGGAGTACCCTTAACCTGGTTTGCTCCGCCGGTCGAGGCGGTTACCGGGGTGTAATCTCTAGCCAGAGTCTGACTTCGGGGGGTCACATGAGAGAGTTAGATATCAGTTAATAGACGCTAGGCATTATCAACATCTGGAAGCAATTGGGCAACCTACTACGACCGTTACAGGGGTCCACAACTGGACAAACCTTCGACAGTTCGACCGTCCTGTCCGATAATGTCCACTGTGTGCTCCACAACAAAGTGAAGCCGACACGGTGACTTGCGCGTGAATTAGTTTATAGTTGGAGCACACCCTACACGACAGTTCGACCGTCGATTTCGACGATGTCCACCGTGTGCCCACAGCTGCAGCAGCAGCAGCGGTGGGAGCAGGGACGGTGACTTGCGCTGGGGTTTATAGTGCGGGTAGACTTGCGCTGCATCTACCTACACTCTCTCCTCCTCCCCCGCCTGGGTCCGGTGTCAAGACAGAGTCAAGAAGACCGGAGACGGGGGAGGCCGCAGGTGGATGGCTCGGACGGATCCTCGCCTTGGCGCTCCACTCCGCACCCCCCTGGTCCACACACAAATGACCAGGATTTTGACCACCAAACAATGGGGTGGAGAATGTGGTCCAGTTGTGCGACGAATGCCGACAACAGGGTCCGCCAGCGCACCCCGCAAATGTTGGCATTTGTTATTACGCAAAGATAACGCCTGCCAGAGTCCGATGTGGCCCCCGTGCTGGTCCAGCACATCTAACACGTGGCCCGTTTTGAGGGCGCAACACCCTACACACTCCAAACACACACACACACACGACAGTTCGACCGTCGATTTCGACGATGTCCACCGTG